CCCCAAAACCCCAAAACCCCAAAACCCCTTTTTTGAAGAATCCAGTTGAAAGCTTAGAGACAGATCTTATCTTGAAGTTGCAGCAAATTGGCTAGCTGGCCTTGTTGAGAATAGTAGCGGAGTCATCTTTGACTTACTCGGGTTATGAACAGCAAGAATTATTTCAGAATCAGATGAATCTATTGCAAAAGTACACTCAACTCCTTTCTTAAATGCAGAAAACTCTGAACGTGTTGGAGCTGATCCTTCATTTTGGTAGATATAGATTTCTTGAACATTTTGGCTTTGGAACTCAAGAAGAAGAGAAGGAGCTAAAGCTGGGATTGAGAAATAAGTCCATTCTCTTGGGAACAGAGATATGTTTTTATAATTTCCATGCTTAAGTAAACTCTCATATCTTAAAGGAGTTGGGTTAATTGAACAATCTGCACCATAAATACCATCGTTACATTTACAACGAGAGTTTACACACTGGCCTGCATTATTACAATGATTCATTCTCATGCAGACATTTCCTTCGGTTTCACAATTATTATCTTCTTTATGACACCTTGCTTTTCCTTCGCTTATCATATCAGAGAGTAAAGATTTGCTGACAGGGAACTGAGTAATACCCAAGACATGGCCAGCATTATAGACAGTCACATATGACAATTTTTGAGTGATTCCTGAAGCATTTCTCTCAAATGTTTTATAAGTACCTCCAATTTGAATATCATTTTCTCCTGCTTTAGGATAGTGGTATACACTCTTCTGAGATGCTTGACCAAAGTTCTTGGTTATTCCAAGTTCTTGGACCCAGAGTTGAGTGCCGTACACGCCATCAAGCCCATCGAAAGTTCCTGAGAAAACTATTGTTTTGACTCCTGAGTCTACTATCTTTTCGTACAGAGGGACATCATCAACAAGGCCATCAAATTTCATATTATTATAGACTGTTCCATTGAAATGAGAGAAAGAAATGTTACCAGAATCTCCGACATTCATTTGTTTCTGAACAGTTTCATCTTCGAAGTAGTCATCAACAAGGTTGAGCACACTGAAAGCGCCAGCTTTGTCTCTTACATCCATTATTTCCCAGTTCCCATCAGTGTCAGACAGTAAGGAATTCATCGCTTTGCATTTTGAGAAAGCATTTTCTGGGTCAAGGAAGATGCTTTGCTCACACTTGTTCTCCAAAGCTTCATACTCTTTGACTAAATCGAGAGTCAAAAGTCCAGTTCCTAGAGCTAGTTGTTTAATCGAAAGCCTCTGGGTGATGGGATCAACGTATCCATCTTCAACTAGTAATCCGTACATCGGAATTTTATCATCTGCACTAGCATCTTTATTAAAATCTAAAATTTCATTAACAGCACTTGGCATAAAATGTCCAGCGTAGCTATTGCCTGCTATGATAAGGTCTAGTTTCTTTTGTTCAGGGTAGATTTCATAAAACTTTTGCATGAAGGTCAGCATGACCTGACCAACTTGTTTTCCATTGGTCACATCAGAATCAGAATAACTGTAACCAACTCCATATGGTTGATCAATATAGATAACATTGGCGATATCTGTAAATGAGTTTTCAATATCCGAATACAGTTCTAACTCTCCATCATTGAGTCTGAACTTGATTGGGCCATTCTCATCATGCATTGAGCCTATCCCAGAACCGCCTGGACCTCCACTAAACCAGAGTACCAGCTTGGTATCCTTCCCTTGGTTCATGGTAGGGAAGAACCAATAGAAAATATTTCCATTAATCTCAGGATTTGTGGTAATGAGTCCGGAGTAAGAGCAAGGGAATGGATAACTATGGTTAAAATTCTTCAAGTCTGTAACTCTACTCTCTTTATCTTCTCACTCGATCATGCAGCTAGCAATAGCCACCAGGATTCATAGAGCAATCAGTTTCATATTCTTGATTGTAATAGTAATTTTCAATTCTTTTACATTAAATAGGGGTTTTGGGGTTTTGGGGTTTTGGGGTTTTGGGGTTTTGGGG